GAAAGAAGCACGTGGCATATTTGATGGGCTTGAGTAAATGGATGGCAGAAACGGGTTTAGGAGAAATAACGAAAAGAAAATTTATCAGGAGTTATGTTGTGGATTCCGGGAGGAAATCCGGTCTCAAATGAATGACAAACGCAGGAATGAAATATAGCAAATAAATGTATTGACGTAATAATACAATTGGTAACACGGTTATTAGATCCAGAAATGCGGTTAGTAGCAATGATAATATATATACAGTCTGGGAAATTCAGTATCGAAGTATGACTTCCTTCTGAGTCTACGTGCTCGCAAAACAAAGCGGTTACCTCACATGAAAGTACACTGAGCGAGTTCACTTGTATAAAAAGGGGTGGACCCCCTACACCCCCCTACTCAGATCCCTTTTGTGGGGTGTTAGTATTTTTTCTCTTATGGTCGATAACCAGAGGTTCGGTAAATTTTCTCTTCCTGTTTTAAATGATCTCTTTGGTACAATAAGTGTATACTGGTTTTTGTTTGGTAATAATTTGTCAAACACAGACTGTATTTTTACCTTCGTCCTCTGCATAGATTCATCCTTTTCCGCTTCTCTTCTTATCTCTCGCAAAGTCACAGGTAGTTCCTTTACTGCCTTGTATAACTCTTTACTGTTTTCATCTATGGTAGCAAATGGCACGTTTCGCTTCTTTTTAAAAACTGGTTGGGCGTTTTCTTTTAATTCAATTTTAGCCTCATATTTGTTACATCGTCCCAACCCGCTCGAAAATACCTCAGTAAATTGGTTATATAATTCTTCCTTTAACTTTATAGCATCTGACGGTTCAACCTCTAACTTTTTGCAAAAAGAGCTGATAGGTAGATCCCAAACGTTGAACTTTTGCATCCAGTCGATACCTACTAGATTTTCAGTATCTTTCATGACGTATATCTTAAGTTTTTTGTTCTTCCATGAAATTTAATATTCACGAATATTTCTCCTTCAAATTTTATTCGCTTGCCTGTAAACTGATTTTGCAATTTTTTGTGTATGTAACATGGTTGGTTTGTTAAGTTTTTCTTGTCTGTAGGTTGATTATCGAGGTCCGAATCCAGTTGCAATTTTATTTTTATTTAAAATTTCAAGTTCCACATATTTCTTTTTATGTTGGTGTTGTCTTCGTTATGCATCCTAGTAGCTCTTATTCTACTAGTAGCTTTTCTGTTCCTACATCGGGATGACTTGTGGCCCTTTTTTCCACACTCAAGACAGTTTTTATATTTAAAACGGCAATCCGTGTTCCAATGTAGTTCTCCACATCGATGACATGCTGATGGGGGGGATTATATTTGCTTCGATTTTCGTCATAATTTGCCTGTCTTTTTCTCTTATTATAGAATTGTTTTCTTTCTTTTCGGGAGGGTGAGAATCTTTTTTCATTATTATAGAATTTTTTGTTTTCTTTCCGGGAGGGTGAAGAACGTATTTTGTTTAACTTACGTATATGAGATACAGCTGACTCCTCAATGTCCTTCGAGTCTTTCTTTAAACTTAGACATTTCTGGTAATCTTCCGATAATTGTTGTAGCGTTAGTCCAGGTTCATGCGCATTTCACAATCTTTTATTGAAACTAACCCTTGAACAAAGATGAGACACTTTGAAATTGTCCGGGTTAATTCCACTAATTTGAAGTCGTCGCAATGTTTATTTACGATTGCGGCAAACGTTAATCATTATTGCCCTTTACCAGGTTAAGGCATTTCCATCTTTTGTGGAAGAGTGATGTTTTTGGACTGAAGAGTTCTTTAAAACATGCCACTGCTTCGTCAAATGTTAAATCGTTCGTCTTTTTGGCAAGATATAATCCACGAACTTAGTATATTCTTCAGTTCCTAATTTTTCTAAGAATAGACGTTTTTTTTTCTGTCCAGTTTTGACAGTCGATGTTAAAGATGTCTTCATGGTTTTGAAGTAATCTCCGAAATCTTTATCCTCATCTAAAGAATATTTGAAAATCTCTAAGGTATTCCATACTACGTCTTGCGAAAAACTTGAAATTGACCCGGGGGTTCTATTTGTCTTTCTTGATTTTTCTTCTGCGTTTGTAGTAATTGGTTGATCATTTTGGTATTTTACCAGTTCTACAAAAATATTTTAAATCTTCCATGATAACTCAATTTTACGTATTTTTTACTCCTCGTAACTCTTTGTCGCCAATTTGTTGTGGATGACGAGGGAAAAAAATTTTTGTTGTTTGTTCTTTCTGAATCGCTTGTCGTCAATTTGTTGTGGAAAGGAGGATTTTTCATTTCTTCTTCTCGTGTGAGTTCGAATCGCTCGTTGCTTAATTTGTTGTGGATTCCGGGAGGAAATCCAGTCTCAAATGAATGACAAACGCAGGAATGAAATATAGAAATAAATGTATTGGCGTAATAATACAATTGGTAATACGGTTATTAGATCCAGAAATGCGGTTAGTAGCAATAATAATATATATACAGTCTGTTCAGTATCGAAGTATGACTTCCTTCTGAGTCTACGTGCTCGCAACTGTCCCTCACACTCTCACTCTCTCACTCTTTCAATTCATTATAAGTACACTAGGCGAGTTCAGCATAAAAAAGGGTGGAAACCTTAACAAGTTACAAAGATCAGGAAGTTGTGGAGAGCCATGATAGCCTACGTCCTGAAGAGGGGGGCACGGCACATGAAGAAGAAGAATAATTATTCTGGATATGTGGGTAGTATAAGAAATTAACGCGCCGAGTTCAAATTCTGATTGAGTCTGTTTGGTGCACTAATCCATTTGATATAGGCTTTAATCAATTTCCCTCCAGCTACGGGTTAAATAGAAGAGCAGTCTGGACGCTTTAACATTGGTAGGGCAATCGATCTATCAGAAGGATAATTTTGAATTCAAAACCAGCCTGAAAAGGATTTGTCTTGCTCTTGACACATCCATTGCAACCATGGATACAGTACAGAATTAAAAAAAAATTTTACATAAAAAATCCTTTAGTCTTTCCTCTTAATAATACTACAAAGATTTTGACCATAAATCTTTGTTTTTGGCATCTTTTCATTATGTATGCTCATTCTTAGATATTTTTTGGAAGTAAATGAATATATATATATATATATATATATATATATATATATATATATATATATATCGTCATCTGCAGACAGCCATCAGTGTGACTAGATATCCGGTTGCTTCAAGTTGGGATCGAAACTTGACCAAATTTACATAAGTCAGAGACTCTTACCCTAAAGCTATCGGCGCACGGCAGAGAAAAGGAATTTTAACGCATTATATACTTGATATATAAACGCCATACCGGCCGCCATAGCGCTCAATTCTTACGAAGAATATATATATATATATATATATATATATATATATATAGAGAGAGAGAGAGAGAGAGAGGTGAAAAGACTTGTAAGTATTAAAAATAAAAAATAAGCATCTTTTATAAATCTTTTTTCCAAAACTACCGTAATTTCTCGAAAATAATACGCATTTTTTACGGTAAATTACAGGTGATACTATTTGTGCGTATTATAAATAGATTTAAACAAAAATATTTTTTGTTATTGATTCATAATAATAAATACGTACTTGTTGTTCTAAAATAAGAAAGATATTAACCCAATTTTCATTTTTAATCGAACAATAATAAGTGTAACATTTTTTTTTTATTTTATCAGCAACCGCATTTTTTTATTTGGCGAAAAAATGAAAAAAAATCTATAAAATACTTCATCGTCTTTCTTTTGCATATTCAACTAAATTTTGTTCCATATCTGGATATTGAGCTTTTTCACTTTTTTAGTTCATTTTTATTCTTTCTCCATAAACGTATGTTAGCCTCATTCAACTCATATACTCTAGCTGCAGCTTTGTTTCCTATTCTTTCTGCTAATTCTATTACTTTTTGTTTAAAATTTGCATTATAACTCACATATTTTGACGACATTTTGGTGGTAAAATAAAATGTTATATTTATCAAGAAAATCTCATTGTAATTTTCAAAATTATTTTAGCCGCTTAGTTTCAATGTTATTCTTAATGTAAACGTCGACAAAATGTCTTCGTAATTATTTATTTATTTTTTTGACAAAATTTATAGATGCTTATTATACATAGGGATATATTTCTTAATTTTTGGATCATTTGTTGGGGTGTGTATTATTTATAGGTGCGTATTATTTTCGAAAAATTACGGTAATTCTAAAACTTTGTTTCGGAAGAGTAAATTACTTCCAGTATAGCCACTTTTTTTTTCTTTTTATGTACTGTATCCTTTCAGGACGTAAGCGATCATGGCTCTCCACTGCCTCCTATTTCTTGTAGCTTTCAATAAGTTTCGTGTCTCTGCCAACTCTCCCACTCTCGCCAATGTAACATTTTCTACATTGCAGAAACTTTATTTCATACATCCTGGCATCTGGATTGGTGTTGGCTTTATTTTTCTTCCTATATATATCTCCGGTTGTTTTAGAGGTGGTGATAAGAACCAGAGTTTTGGGAATAACTAATTTATTCTCACATTTTGTATTTTTGGCATTAGAAGCGAAGTCGGTTGTGTCTGACAGCTTTTCTAATACCAATAACACTGCCGTATACCGATCCATATATGATCCAATTTCATATCTATCTATCTATCTATCTATCTATCTCTCTCTCTCTCTCTCTATATATATATATATATATATATATATATATATATATATATATATATATATATATATAGGGTAATAAACAAATAGTTGATAATATACTCGTATTAATGAAATAGTAATTACGTAATTCTCCCAGAGAAAAATATTTCTACAATCTACTTATCATATAAACACGTCATGATTTTGTAAATATAATTAGCATACAAAATAGTTGTTTATAATAACACATATATATTAGACGTTATATATGTGTATGAGGACATATCTATCTCAATCCGTCTTTATCTGTCTAACTCTGTTCATTTCTTTCTATCTCTCTCTCTATCTCTTTATCTATCTATATTTCAGTCTGTTCCTTTATCTATCTATCTATCTATCTATCTATCTATCTGCCTGCCTGCCATATAGATAGATACATCAAGGGTTTGCAAATATGTTTTCTAATCTCTACCAAATATATCATAGGTTCTGAAATCCACACACAAAAATATTTTTTATTTATTTTAAGATATCAGCTTTTGAAACGTGTTTGTGTGTCTGTATGTGAAGGAGTTTTTGTGTGCGTGTAAAATGCCATACAACTGATATAGGAATATATAGATACATTCACTTTATAAATTTTTACATATGAGACTATTTCTTTCTCATTTCATCTATCTATCTATCTATCTATCTATCTATCTATCTATCTATCTATCTATCTATTCAGTCTGTTCCTTTCAGTCTATTCCTATCTATCTATCTATCTATCTATCTATCTATCTATCTATCTATCTCGAAATTCGTCGGTTTCGAGAAGGCAAATGGAATATATGTGCATAGATCTCCAGTGCGCAGATCTGGGCAGGGATTTTATGAGAGATCGGCCTTTGCTCGTACATCATGTCTCCCCTCTCCACGCCACTGACATTGTCCAAGGGAAAGGCAGTGGCCAATACAGATTGGTATAGGCGTTGGCGTAGGAATTGCCATCACGAAATTGAAAGTGTCACCAGGACAGGGATTTGAAGTCATACATTTACTCCTAGACCGGTTGCCATTCATAGCCCAGTGTGTCCTGCTATTTATGCATAGCCAGGAGGCGGAAGAGTTGTTGTATTCGTACAATAATAACTGATATATAAACATTATATATATATATATATATATATATATATATATATATATATATTATTTTAGGATATTACATCGAAAAACATGTCAAAATCGCTACACAATTGCAGTCGTGTATAGATGCGTATCAAATGCGTCTCATCAGGCGATTGTAAATTACACATTGCAATTTACAATCGCCTGATGAGATGCATTAATACCCATCGAAAAACGACTGCAATTGTGTAGCGATTTTGACATGTTTTCGATCTAATATCCTAAAATAAAGAATATTTACATTGTATTGAGCCCTCTTGTAAATTAAATGTTATGAATGTTGGAATTGTACTCTATTCGTTCTCATCTTAACTGGATATATATATATATATATATATATATATATATATATATATATATATATATATATATGTCCTGACTTAACATCCTGTGATTTTTTTCTTGTGTGGAGTGTTGGCTAAAGGAGCAAGTCTGCCAAACGAAGACTTTGGAAGAACTTGAATGTCGAATACAAGAAATTATGTCTTCCATACCACAAGAATTCCTGGATGGTTCGAGTATCTAGTAGCGAAATATGGTGTGCATATCAAATTTTAAATAAAACCTAAACGATTTCCTCTCATATTCATTTCTTGTAAAAATTATTGTTAATAAATAAATTATAATTATTTTAAAACGGGGAGTTACTTTTTAATCACCCTGTACACACACACACACACACACACACTTTGTCTCTCTCTCTCTCTCTCTCATACACACACATCGCCTTGCTTGGGGTGAAATGCTTAAAAAAATAGTATGTATACTTTTGTATATCTATGTAAATATGTAATATATTTATATATTTGGGTATGTCATGGTATTTGTATATTTGTATTATATTCGAAACTATATATTAGATGTGTATTTTTGAATTATACCAGTGCATTAGAATTTGAAGGTATGTAAGTGTATGTATATGTGTATTTGTATGTTTAAGTGTAATGGTGTTTCCATGGGTTCAGTTCTGGGACCAACATTTACTAACTTCTATATGGCTAACCTTGAAAATAAGATATATATATATCACGAAATAGTCTTCCATTTACCTAAGATATAGAGATGATATTCTCCTCTTAGTTAAAAGCATAGACGAAATACATGAACTACAAAAAACTTACAAAAACTCTGTTCTTTAAGTTCATATATGAACTTAACAATAATAACAGAATTTCTTGATGCATTGATAGACACTAATAACAATACATTTACTACATCTCCATATAAAAGAATAACTAGCATAAACACGTACGCTCACGACTATACAAATGAATGTCCTTACGATTACAAAACACCGATTATACAAAATTTAATAAACCGTGCAAAAATTGACACTTCCACAGAAAGATTTTCTACACTGAATTATAAAACATTAAACAAACTGTCATTAATAACGACTTTCCGAATTATATTGTTGATAAATAAATTAGACGATATTAAGAAATTAGAAATATTAACATACATCAAAAAGAACATAATACTTCACCAAATAACCCTTAACATATTAACCTACTATCGCAATCAAATACACTTTAACTACAAAAAAAAAAAAATTCTAAAAAAACTCGTAAGTACTAATATATCCCCCAATGATCTCAGTAAAAAAATAAAACTAGTTATATACTATACTAAATTTAATATAACGAACTTAATCATCCGCAATTACTCTTCTCCGTCAACTCCGTCGTCTCCGTTGCAAAAGATAAACATTGTATATCAGTTAAAATGTCCTTTGGGAGATTGTGTTGTCTGCAAAAAGCGTAAATATATATGTTGGTTTCACGACGTCAGAAGGTTTACTTTACACATGTCGGATTCAAGTTCTATAGCACAACATTTGAAAGAACATTCTTGTCTACATTCACGTTTTGGAAAAATATTAGTTGACAATAGAAAATAAAATCAGAAACTTCAAATTCTTGAATCTCTCTCTCTCTCTCTCTATATATATATATATATATATATATATATATATATATGTATGTATGGCGACAAAGATGAGGACAATAGACCGAATATATATATATATATATATATATATATATATATATATATATATATATATATATATATCTTGAGAACAATAGTCCGAATATATATATATATATATATATATATATATATATATATATATATATATATTCCTATTGTCCTCATCTTTGTCGCCATATTTATTACAACGTTTCGGCCTTCTTCAGGTGGTTGGAATGTCGAACTGAACCCTTTATTTCGCTCCACGTGCCATGTTTAATGGATGTCCGTTATCAGTTATCTTCTGTTAATTTCCCTCTCCAAGTTCTCCACTGCATTAACCGGGTATTGAACTCACTCTCTAATGCCTTTGTCCACTGTTCCATGTGTTCTTGAGGACATGTGTGTATGAATTTCTGGATATTATAAACCTAATGTCTTCAGCTCATTTTTTACCGGAGCTCATATTGCAATTTTTGCTGTCGCTTTTTTTCTGGAACCATATTACTGGTTATATATATATATATATATATATATATATATATATATATATATATATATATATATATAAACGAAACCAAAACTAAATAAAATTAATTATCAGTATAACAACAATGTTTTAAAATGTGTAAAAGCAATGCTTTTGATTGCCTAAATTTTCATTTTTTTTTAATTTAAAAAAAATAAATTTCAGGTTGAGTATATTATTAATAAGAAATATAAATGATTTCCTTTGCATATTCTTAACGTTCATTTTTAAATTGATTATAACGGAGCGCGTTTCGTGCACATTTACAAAATAATTCACAACTATCAATTAGATTAATTTTTGTCTTAGCAATTCACCCTTGATTGATGATCTTGGATGAGATTGAAAATATTTGGAAAAATTAAAGAAATAACCAAAACTACGGCGTCTTTCTTACTCAGTTTGTAAAAGCATTCAGAAATTGATCCATGAATTTGAGAGGATTAAAATAAAATAATATGTCTAGATTATGCAACCAAACATGCTTGGATATATGATGTTTAAATAGAAGCACACACACAAACACACACACACACATATATATATATATATATATATATATATATATATATATATATATATATATATATATATATGTGTGTGTGTGTGTGTGTGTGTGTGTGTGTTTTGAAAATGGAAAACTGTTTTATTGTCCTATTTTCCTCTGTACGCGCGCACACACACACACACACACTCACACACAAACGTGTATATATATATATATATATATATATATATATATATATGTGTGTGTGTGTGTGTGTGTGTGTGTGTGTGTGTGTGTGTTTTGTGTGTACACACACACACATACACGGTAAATTGACGCCTTTTTATCTTTTTAATTTCTCGCCTGCGCATTGTTTGCTTTTGTTGACTGCGCCGTATAGTAGGGTCAGTTGGGCACCGTCTGCGAGAAAAAGAGAGCACCATGACACGATTCCAGAAATTTGGAAATGGCGTGCTGTACTGCTTGGTATTTGAACCGGATGATCCAATACGAACATTTCAGAGTGCTTGGGCGTCTATCTGAGGCCAGTGCCGAGGATTTGGAAAAAGTTGAAGAAATCTAATGGTGATTACGAGGGTACAGAAGCTCGAAAAAATCACACTGAGCGTTCTGATAAGAAAAGAACTCTTGAATTTGTTGATGCGGGCCTCACTCAACATGGAGGCCTAAATCAAGTGGTTTGAGGAGGTAGTGCTACCCTGGGTCAAGAGGATGGCTGCTGGAAGATCCTATATCTGGCAACAGGACTCTGCACCATGCCACACAAGCAGGAAGATCCAGTTATGGCTGTCAGACAATTTTTTTGACCACATCACCTCTTACATGGAGCCACTAAATTCTCCAGACCACAACCCCTTTGATCACAATGTGGGGCACATTTGAGCGAGAGACAAAGAAAACTCCGTGTAACACCAAAGATAAAATAAAGGCAAGGATTATGGCAGCACTTACCAACTTAAAGAAGAAGGCCGCCCAGAAGAGTGGCAGGAGATTCCGAAGTCGTCTGGAGGCCGTGATTAAATCCAATGGCGATTTTATTGAATAAATTTACTGTTTAGTATTTCAAGATAGTTTTGTGTATTTTTGTGTAATATATCCGTTAAAATGAGATATCAGTTATTTTCATTTTTGCTTACTTTAGATGACAATTTATCTATCGCATTGTGTGTGTGTGTGTGTGTGTGTGTGTGTGTGTGTGTGTGTGTGTGTGTGGCGGAAAGAACTAAATCATTCAGAGGATAGGTTTTGTTTACCTATCTATCACTCTCTTTCATTCTCTCCCCTTCATTCTCCCTCTCTCTCACCCTATCTCTCTCTTCTCTCTCTCTCTCTCTCTCTCTCTATCTATCTATCTATCTATATATATATATATATATATATATTTATAGCGGAAAGAACTAAATCATTCAGAGGATAGGTTTTGTTTATCTAGCTATCTCTCCCTCTCTCTTTCTCTCTCTCTCTCTCTCTCTATATATATATATATATATGGCGGAAAGAACTAAATCATTTTGAGGATAGGTTTTGATTACCTATCTATCTCTCTCTCCATCTTTCGCTCTCTTTCTATATATATATATATATATATATATATATATATATATATATATGCGTGTGTGTGTGTGTGTTTTAAAAAAAATAACGTCTAAATCATTCAGAGGGTAGATTTTTATATATATATATATATATATATATATATATATATATATATATATATATATATATATATATACGAAACCTATCCTTTGAAGGATCTAGAAGTTCTTATAATTTTCCCATTTCTTTCGCAATTTCATACCATATGTTTTAATGATTTATACTTCATCGGAGCCAATTTCAATCAACTGCAAAGTTATTTTTCTGCCGCTTCTGTTCTTGGTTAACCAGATTCAAAAATATTTGAAAAGTCTTGGCCAGTACTTCCAGAGCTATGTGTTTATCTGAGGGAAAACACTTATTTTAATACTTTCGCTTCCGCCGTACAAGCCCCAAAAGCCATTCGAAGCAGATGATTATTGAATGAGGTTGTTCTAATGCTGTGACAAGAGAAGTAAGAATTGCATACTATAAGAATATGTAGGATAGACAACGGTTGACCCTTGATTTCAAGATATTAATATCGTAATGATCGGAAGACCATGCTCTGCGGATTGTGTTTCACAAAACAACTGCTCTTGGGACGAATCTGTCTGCGTGTAACTTTCTCCTTACCAATGAAAGATGAGGGGAATGGAGATGAGTGTACGTGGCATAGCACGTTCAAACTATGGAAGTCTGGACTGGTGGAACTAAGTTTTAAAATTTGCCATGAAAAAAGCAATCTATTGGTGAGACGTTAGCAATGTTTCGTCTGTGGGAAAATGGTTGTAGGGTGGAAAATAATCTAAGAAGTGTCGATCTGTATGGAACCCAATATGCACTCGCGTCACCCTTCAAGTTGCCAAAGTGGGTTTTGTCACTTCAGAACGTCAAAAGATTGGCTTCCTCGAGGGTCGACATGAAAGATGACCTCAGGTTCACCATGTGTAGAATAAAACCTCAAAGGATGTCGGCGGGTGAACCTATATCAACAATGAAATGAACCCAACTGAACTTAGGACATACACGCATAAGTCAACCGGATGAGAGAAAGTTATATGAACACCCGACTTAGAAGAAAATCCCTGAAATCCTCACATCTGAAAAGGCATAGATTTTGTATGTATTTGTATTGTATTTGTATGTATCTGTGTTGTATTTGTATGTATTTTGTATATATTTGCATTGCATTCGTATGCACTTTATTGTATTTGTATGTATGTGTATTGTATTCGTATGTATTTGTATATACTTGTATTGTATTTTATATATTTGTATTTATTTTTTATGCATCTGTATTGTATTCGTATGCATTTTTAATGTATTTGGATTCTATTTTTATGCATTTGTATTGTATTTGTATGTATTTGCATTTATTTCTATGTATTTGTATTTATTTGCATGTATTTGTATTGTATTTTTTTTTGGGGGGGGTGATATAATCTAGTATTATACATTCACTTCCCGCATTCGCCATATTTATTACACAATTAAATTATACTGATATATCTATTTTTACCTCCAGGAGAGTCACTTTTTCTGCCTTCTCGGGCTAACATTTTTTCTCAACAGAATCTATCTTACATATTTATAAGTTTACCATTCGCCCATGCATCTGGTTCTTCTGCTAGTTTCTTCTCTCGCACTTCTCACCTGTGGAACTCTCTTCCTGCTTATTGCTTTCCAGTCAACTTTGAATTTCAAAATATTATATGCAATGTCAATCTTTTTTAGTTTTCTTGATTCCTGTTCTTTTATTGTTCTCTCTTTTTCTTTTCCTCATATTCTCTCACACTCAGTAACCTCCTGCGTCTTAGTGGCTTTATTGCCTCGCTTTTGGGTGAAATGATTTAAAAAAATGAATCATATACAATGGCGTCATGAGCTAAAATTGTAGCAGAGAGACCACTTCGTCCCAGATTTTAGTATAGAGTGAATATTCCTGAGATGGGGTATTGTAACTATTTACACTCCGACTGACGCCAATTCAGCCGGGTTTCGATCCTAGCTAGAGGCAACCGGACGTCTAGCCACACTGATGAGCTGTGATACAGCGAAACAGTCTGTCTGTGAATGACAATATATATATATATATATATATATATATATATATATATATATATATATATATGTTGTCCTCATCTTTATTGTCACATTCACGACGTTTCAGGCGTTGTACGCCCCGGCCTTCTTCAGGTGATATTTGTTGGAATAGGCTGGAGAGTTATCTTGACGAATTAATTAAAACTGAGATATCCAAAGGCATGATACGTGGAATTAGAACAACCCACCCCCTGAATGGACTAAAATAAAGGGTTCGGTTCGAAATTCCAATGTATATCACCTGAAGAAGACCGGAACGTACAACGCGGGAAAGTGACAATAAAAATGAGGACAAGTCTGAACAATGTAAATAGTGTAAAGAGTGAACAATGATTCGTGTCTGGAGCGAAGGAATTAGTTATCTTACTTATTATAAAACGCAGATTGTGTGTGTGTCTGTACGTTTATATATTGGATCGGATTTCCTACATTTTTCAACTGATTTCAACAAAACTTCACAGAACTACGTAAAATTACCTTGCGGTGGTTCTAACAGCGCCAAAAATTGGAAAAACACAATTGTTTTTGCATGAAATCAATTTGAAAACACGATAAAGAGGCATCATCACGAGAATGAAAGGGGGACAACTCATATCGAGTTATACTTATTATAAAAACCCAGGTTGTTTGTGTGTGTGTTCGTTTATATATGGGATCGGATTTCCTACATTTTTCAACCGATTTCAACAAAACTTCTCTTTTTTTTGGCAGGTAGTGTTTCTTATTGTCTTGCACACTTTTTTTCTTTATTTTTACATTCAGAATGCTTTAAAAATTTCATTTACAAGACAACTGTTTATAATAATATTCTATTCAATCGATAGACTCATAACGATTGAAAACAATGTTTTTGTTTGAGTTTGACCAATTCGTAAAAAAAACAAAAAAACTAATTAAGACATGCGTGTCCGTCAACCTTAAACAATAATCTTTGTCAATTTTATTTTTCAGTCTTCATGATGGTCGATACTTGATCTATCTCTTACTGTTATATCCCCGGGCAACGCCGGGCTCTACTGCTAGTACTAAATAAACATAAGTGGGAATGTGGATACAGAAAGATGAAAAAAACTATAGCAAAAAAAAAAAAAAAAAAAAAAAAAAGAAAGAAAAGCAACCAAATGCAACATTTAATTAGAATATATTAGAACGCTTGATTAATGCTTGAGATTGGAATTGGTTAGAATCGAAACCTGTATTCGTAATTTAAAACGGTGTATACGTGACAGAATCCTCGCATGACCGAGCGAGCACAAATTCCGAAATATTCATATGTTTATCATCGCCTGACCCTATTTCAGAAAATAACGTAATATATTTATGGTTTTATCTAACGGCCAGAGTTAGCCAGTTATGGGCATCTGTTTTTTGTCAAAATAATCTTTTTTGCCTGAAAAAAAAGGTCGTCGTGACAATTCTTTTGTCCGAAGATTTTATAAACATGAAGATCCATAACTGTCGTCATATACTGGGTGAGAACCACCCCAGTCAGACAGTAGAACCTGTCTTGTCCCCTGGACATTAAAAATACGTAAAAAGAAAGAAACGGGGGCAAAAGAAGTAATCTTTTTCTTTCTTTTTACGTGCGGTGTCCTTTCAGAACGTTGGCGATAACGGCTCTCCACTTCTCCCTATACCTTATGGCTCTCAATTAGTTTCGTGCCTCTGCCAAGCTCGCCAGGTATGTCATGCGTTGCTTCCCTTTGTCTCGTTTTCCCTCTATTCGACTTGTGAGTATCAGATTCTCCAGGCCCTCCTTTCTCATTACGTGTTCCAGAAATTTCATCTGCCTCTTCCTTAAGTATAAGCTTCCTCCTTGTTTGCATCCTCCTCAAGACCTCACACGCACGCCCCATGATATCCTTAGCATCCTTCTGTAGAACCACATCTCCGCTCTCTCGAGTCTCTTCTTCATCTTTGAGGAGGCCGTCCAACATTCGCTACCGTATAGGGGAACAGATGTCACGTAGCAGCTCAGTACTCTTTTCTTTGTCAACAAAGAATTCCTCCTGTCTTGCAGTAGTCAGCACAGTTTTTGAAATACATCCTTGGCCATCCCAATACATCTACGGATCTTAGTGTCGCATTTACCCTCCTCTGTCAATACGCTTCCCAGATATTTAAACTTCCGCACATGCTTGATTTTAGTGTCCCCAACCTGCAAATCGCATTTCGGACACATCCTTTTACCGATCGCTACTGTTATTAGACTCATTGTTCATAGTAAAGGGCCTAAAAAGAGAGAAATCCTTGTGCAAAGACGAATGTTTTCTCCAGCTTCAAACAAAAAGAAAAGAGAACTGTGTAGTAATTGCCAGTAATAAATATTTGTTTGTTATTGTTTTAGAGTAGTTTTCACAGTGGAGGCTTGTATTTCGCTAAGTCGATCCGACGTACAAAACTTTAGGAACTTGAAATAAGAGTTAATGACGCAGCAATCTAGTTGTGATGGTTGATACTTCAATGTCCGACATCGACTGACTCACTCAACTCCACTGAGCCCAACTGGCGACCGCTACTACTACTACTTATTATGTGTGGGAGAGTCTATTAATAATAGAATAGGTACGTTCGGGTATAACAGTTATCAGATTTCCTTTTCAGCAAAATGGTTTACCACGGACCTGTCGAATATCCTATTCGACAGGTAAACACACCATCAGTTGCAACATAGTAGAGGCAGATCGCTGCGTGGTTAGTTGTAACA